CGTTGCTAGTTATAGAGGATGAGCAAAGGGCAAATGCAAATCAGGGGCTAGATGCTTCTTGTTTCCCACGTCCATCTTCGCTTCTTGGATCCGAATCCTTCTCACCCCTCCTCATTGCCGCGCCTTTCCTATCTTCGAGCAGGAGGCGCCGAAGAGGGCAGTGGGCTAGGCGGTAGCACCAGCGGGTCCACCTCTGGGGCAGCAGGTAAGCGGTGGGATGGACGGCTATAGCAGGAAGTAGGGATTTGTGTGCAAAGGCGGCCTTCAGAGCGGGAGAAGCAGGGGGGAAGGTGAGGGTGGGAAAGGTGGGGGCGGGAAGGACAGGAACGGGAAAAGAGGACGAGGGAAGGAATGCCGATAAACCAGCCACATGATTCCAGAAACAGAACAATGGAACAGCTCATGTTATAAGCTAAGATTTCTCATGTTACGGTTTGTCTCCCTTCCATCCCCTTGTCTGGACAGCTCCTCGCTTCGAGATTAAGAAATGGAACGCTGTCACCATGTGGTCCTGGGATATCTGCGCCGACACCTGTGCCATTTGTAGAAACAATCTGAACGAGCCCTCCATCGAATACCAGGTCGGAAGATTCGTCTCCGAACTCAGGCCTGATCTCTCCCTTCCCCCTGCCTTCTCCTCTGCTCCTCGCGTTGCACGTCCTCGCCTCTTCATCTACCCTAATATACCGTTCCTGTCTTGATTTGAGGCGGATTCAGATGTCATGTCTCCTTTGGCGTCTATCTGATCTTCTACCTACCCTCTTGCCCTGCTCCTACAGGCCAACCCGTCTCCCAACAATGAAAATGGACTTTCCATCGCTTTCGGTTGCTGCTCCCACGTCTTCCATCTCGATTGCATCCAGGTACTCACCCTCTATTTGCACTTATTTCTGTCCTTTTTTTGCCATGAGCCTCGTCTTTGATCATTCCAAAATGCGAGATGATATATGTATGTGTGGATGTATGTGTGGTGAGGTCGATCAATACATATAGTAGTGGGATCTCACAATGCCACGTTTCCTTTCCCTTCGTCTTTTTCGACATTTTTTTTCCTTTTATTGCAGCGCTGGTTGAAAGCTCGCTCAGTCTGTCCGTTGTGCAATAAAGAGTGGGAATTTAGCAAGATTGAGCGCATTCCGGGATACAATGCCTTGGGTATATAATGGTCTCGAGTAGGTCCTCTCACATCCGGCACTCTCTGTGGTTTCTTGACTACCCCTTGGAGAGTGACCCTTGAATATACCTTGCTTGATGTGGGGAGGCTGGCGGGTAAATACTCATGAATTTGGGGGAGAACCAAACCAGGTTCTGAGCAAAGTCGATAAACGGTTTCTCAACCGTGTGAAATGGAATGGAATAGCTAAGGCATACCTGTGTAAGTCTATGAAAATGCGTAAAGTGATAACATACAAAGAAAAATAGAAAGAAAGGCAGCATATTTTCGAATGCGTGTCGATCAATATCGTTTCGCTTTGTTTGAGTAGGTGAGCCCCGTGACCCGATCTCTTGCTTGATGCCCGCCTGACTCATTCTCCCAGGGTGCCCTGATTGACAACAATTATTAAATTTGTGAATCCAATTGGACCATAAACATCTCCGATACCGAGGGAGGTGTGCTGGACAATTATGCAACATTCTATAGTTGATAAGTGAACTTTCCTCACATTTGATCCGAGAATTCAAAAATCGAATTTCAAACTTTGGACAGTCCTTCGGAGCCCACATGGCTATGACCCACCAGGCAAAGCGTTGCACCAGCTGTTTTCCCCAAATCATCTCCCCAGAACTTACCTACCTATCATTTTACCCCATAAAGAAAGGCTTTAGGCTTTATTCCCACGGAAATGTGTTACGAAGTTCCGTGCAAAGGGTGCGGTAATGCGACTTACTCCGGATGTGGCCGTCACGTCGATGCGGTATGTCCACAGCAAATAAAATGAGGATGCATATTTTACATTTGTTCAGACAAAATTTGAATATTCTTGTTGTGGCAAATCTTATACATAAGTGTTTGTCGTGCGTAGTTTGATTTTCCGCTTGCAAACGCGTCCGCCCTCGAGCTTTCGCGAACTGTCCTTCTTGAGCTCACTGCGCTTTCAAAACAGGTGAAAGCCCGAGTTTTACAAGCTGGACGACACTGGTGTACATGTGAGGCCAAGAATAACATGAAGGGGTCCACTTCTTCCTCCTTGTCCGCCAATACCTCATCAGTAAATTCTTCAAGCAATGGAAGTACGAGCACGAGCAACAGCTCGGACCCATCCACAAATAAGTGCGTGATTCACTGAGATCGCAAAGCTTAATGTAAATAGGCTTATAGGATTACAAATGTGAGAGGCTAAAAGAAAAACGATGGTGTCTAGTCCATAGGTGAAAATGGAAACACATTTTCCTTAAATAAAGCGATTTGGGTACACTTAAGTAGAATGAGAAGCGTTATATCAGTCGGGTTGGAGTGGCAAGAGAAGGCAAAGAATCAAAGTGTGTCTCGAACATGTAAACTTCAATATAAGCGCTTGCCATGGACAGGCTAAAATTAGCCTATTGTTGACAATATAGATTTGCAGAAGTGCACCTGTTTTTGACACCTTCCTCTTGACGTCTTTCCTCTTGTGAATAAGCGACCCGATAGAAAATATTGTCCCTGTGTCTAGCAGGGAAGTGAACAATTTTGAGGGCTTTAATGAAATCCCGCAAAAATAAAAGTGGTGAGCAAAGTCATGCCTCAAGAGAAATCATAGAAAATCGTATTGTATGGAGTAGCTTCCGTGAGGATATCATGAAACCGTATACATGCTGTCAAATACAATTTTTTGCATCTGGATACTCTTTGCTTTCCCAGGATTCCCGTAGCTTAAACACTGAAAATTAATAGGATAGGAGCTGCTCGGATGCACGATGATATATATATGATGATGTATATATATTGCAGGGATGGGCATGACTCTCTAATATTTCACGAGAGCATCTCTTCAAATAGAGGAAAAGAATTCAAACGACATGAAACAAATTGACCGATTAATGATTACGAATAATTTTGATACTTCGGATATAGAGGTCGCTCATTCTAAGCTCGACTCAGTCTATGTTGCTAGACCAGCGGTACTCAAGTTGAATATTCAGACCGTAGAAAGCCGATACAGGGAGTCTTACCGGCGAGTCGTGCAAGAGTTTGTGTGTATATAGAAAATGAAACGAGGGTACTGCAGGGTTGAAAGCGTATTTCGCAGAAGTATATCCGGCTAGCTTGGTGAAACTTACATGTGCAACATTGCCATTCTATGAGGTCTACTCCTAAACTCTAGATTTACTGAATTAAAGCAAGCATGTGACGAAAAAGCTAAAAGGATAGCCACCGGCCAGTCAAGCGACTAGAACCAAGCAAGATGACTCCTGAGTCCGGAGTGTGGACTCAGGAGCTGGGAATACGCGAATCAGACCCTGCGCCACAAGCACCCCATCTACCGAATATTTCATTTTCAATCATTTTATGCACCCCATTATCTTACTTACTCCGCCGGTTTTGTTCATGCATGGGATATATAAAGTTCTAGCTATGAGGCTGCTATTCCCGGGCTCACATATTGGGATTGCCGACGGCATCGCCTTTTGCACACCGTCGTATGAAGGCATGGTGTATCCTTCTCATTTCTTGCTTATGGGTGATGTGTGCGAGCTTGTAAAGTTCAATGGGCCTTGCTTACTCTTTAGGATCACTTTGCGTCAGGTGTGCAGACCTCCGAGTTGGTGGCTTTTCACGATAAAAACAATTACCGAGGGTGAAGCCATTTGTGCAATCTTTCTTCTGTAAGCCATCAGCACTACGACACTGAACAATAACATTGTGAGCGTTTCTGGCCTCATGCGGATTAGTTCAGAAATAAAGCGGGCAATGAAGCACACTAGCATTGAAAGGCTGTGGTAAGCATGGACAATTTGGAATACAGGAGAGTAGTTCGAGTGGCGCACTTGGGAGCCGACAACAAGAAACAAGAAGACGTTTGCGAAGTAAGCGTGGTGGTGAGACCGTTTCTATCATCGAATCTAACTGAACAACAACTGCTCCAAATCGTCAAAACTGTCGTATCCTCGATCAATTCGGGTTCCGAGCGACCAGCAACGGCGGAAGGTAGCTGTGGCAGGTAAGCTACATGCTGGAGAGAAGCCTCTGTCCGCATTGAGAGCGAACCATGCACGTATATTGCATGTCAGCTTCCACGTGACCTGTCTCACCTTATAAACGCTCAGACAGGCTACAATGGTTTTAGGGGAAGGGATGAGGATAGAAGTAGACTATGTTTTTGGCATTACTAATCGCAAGATTCAAGATTTTCCCGCACTATGACGCAGCAAATTAGGCTAGTTCATGCTTCTTGCTCAATATTCACCACACAGTGCAACCTCACCCTCAAGTACTGGCAATGAAGTGACGTTGTCGAACCCAACTCAGGTGCCATGGACGCGGCCTTTCTCGGCAGGGCCGGTCAAGATAAATAATGTTGGCAGCCATGTTCACGTAGACACGTTGCTAGTTATAGAGGATGAGCAAAGGGCAAATGCAAATCAGGGGCTAGATGCTACCGAAGACATCATCCATGCTGATCGACCCCGCAAGGAGAATACTTTGGAGAGTAATCGCCTTGGCCGTGACAGAGAGGTGTGCGTCCAAGAGAAGGAATTTCAGGATGACGAGCTGCTTTCATGTCAGAGGCTCGCAGGCTCGACATCAATGCTGAACATCGGTTCAATGGGGAAGCTACGTTCGCATGCGGGTACTACTCTGTCAAGAAGCAGCGCGGACGCGGGTGGCGAGGGGCTTCGTCGTGGGCGAAAAGGCGCGTCTTTGAGCACGCTCAAATCTTGCGAATTTTGCTCGCTTAAAAAAATGAAATGCGACGGAAACCTACCCTGCAAAGCTTGTCTTACGCGGAATCAAATTTGCGAGTACCGACAGCGGAAGAGTCGTCTCCCTCGAGGCAAGAGATCTTCCTCCCCTCCTAAGATTATCAAGCGGGCAGGTCCTCCCTATGTGCCGGCCGCGGTGGCTTCCAAGCCGGACGTTTCCCCTCCTACTATCGGCTTACTTCCTCAATCGACATATAGCAGAGGAGGATCGACAAGCGCGCTTGCCATAGGACTCAGGGAAAGACGCGAAGGTGGCTTGGCCGCGAGCGTGCAAGAATTTGCAAGCCGCGAGCAATTCGCAGACACAGATCCCAGGGCGTATTTCCGCAGGAGAGTACTCGACACTGAGGTCATGAATAGAGAGGATCATGCCGTGCTGACAAACGACAGTGCTCCTGGGGCCTCCCTCCCTTTGCGAGATGGAACGTCGGTGCCAAGAAGTGACGTCATCAGGACATGGCTTTCTGGTAAGGCAGCTATTCACCCATCGCCAAGAACACGGCAGCAGGCGAGAGGGCAAACAGAGAATGTCAGTGGGCATCGCGACGTAAACGAGGAGAGTATGGAACTATCTCGTCCACGCTACCAGGGTATGCATCACTCCCATCTATCACTTCCTGCGGAGGTCATAGACGTGGCGGATCGCGAGGTTGCTGCGTTGACAGAGATGACACCTACCCTGATGTGGAGCGTGAAGGATGAAAATCCATCTATCCTATCAGGCCACATGATCGGGGCTCCAGAGGAGGACAGCGGCGGTGGAAGGGCACGGCCTAGCCCGCAACGCACCATCGGTGTGGAGGACGGCCCCCCTACATCCCACCACACATTTTCTAGCATTGCAGCTTTCGAACCGGTAGATAGATCGGCAATGACTCCGAGGACTCGTCAGAAGGAGCATCAGCGCTCTACCAAGCACGAGCGGGAGGAATCAGTCGAAAGAGACGACATTTGGGAGGGTGAACAATACCAGGACCAGTCGAGACATTTGCAACAGTCGAACGATGATTCAGAGCGTTCGGATCACCAGAGAGGTGTACAATGGCAGTTTTCAAATCCTAGCTCAGCCGGCTCCACCTCCCCTTCCTCTTTCATTCTGTCATTCCCGACTACTGAAGATATGAATGAAAATGTGAACACATTTCGAGCTCGGGAATTGACCACAGACGCAAATGATAACGGCCTGCGAGTGAAAATCTCTTTTCTTGATCCTTGGAGAAGACTGGATTCCATGAATGCGTCAAATCAAGGCTGAGGTCGTGGTATCTCAAATGGAGTGCGGACGGTCGGATTTGTTGGAATTAGCGGAAGTCGGAGCTCTTACGGCAATGAAAAGAAAGTAAGGAGAGTAAGATGTTTTGCAATTCCGGCACACCATCTCGTTGTTTAACTCTTTGAAACGCGGAATATATCTACATATCAATTACACGTGTCAAAAGACGCTTGCAAACTGTATAGGAGGAAGATAGCCCGCTCTGTCTATTTCACCTTTTTGTTTGCCAAAAAGTCATCCCTTCGCATCGTAAAAAGCGATTTATAAACCAAACTAAAATAAGAACGGATACAGGAAGGTGCAAGACAAAATTAAATACGGCACTTTTGATACAATTCAGAATATCATTTTTGCAAGTCAAAGGACGCACGCGCCTTTTTCAATTATCGATTAACTCGGCCCCATCTAGATTCCTTTCGCTAACTAATTCCAGTACATGCAAAACCTTCAAGGACATTTGCATTTTGAGGCTCATCTGAAAGATTGAAATATGTGCTGCCTAGAATTAAAACAAACGGTACGGAACCTTATAGAGCTTTGTCACGAAAATTTAGGAATAACGTGAGCCAATGACCGCCGCTAGAAAAGCTATTGATTCATATTTGATGTAGAACTCAACGTTTGTGTCGGCTATCAATAAGTGCTACAGAAACAGCCGAGTCTTGAGCGAAAACGATAGGACACAATTGTGAACTGTAACTCAGAAAGTGGACAAATACTCATGCTACATTTTCATCCAATGTCTCGGAGGCTTATTGCCATGTATTTTGTAGATCTTTATACGTGATACCACTTCCTTATAACCGTGATATGTGGTCGAGTTTGTCTTTCTCCCTCTTAAAGAGATTATCTTATCGCGAGGCGAGTGACCGGCAGTGCAAGGAATGAAGGCCGCTGCTAAAGTGGTATTTTTATGCGTCGTATGTGTCAGGCAAATAACCGAGGGAAAGAAGGTTAATCGAAGCCCTGGAGCACCTTTGGGACTGTACATGGCAGGATACGTACGGAGCACTTTCCTTGTCTTTCCTCAACAGGAGACGAAACTGTCCCCCATCCCTACCCATTCGAGGACTTTTTTGACGCCCTATCCGCCGACTTAGGCGACCCCTATATGTTTGAAATTTCATCTTTGCGTTGTCTTGGACATGTTTACGCGTCTGATATCATCCAGAGCGCACTTACATGTAATAACGCGCTATTTCCGTTCTACTTCCGAAAACCCGAACTGAGGACCTGTCGTCATGACTACGAGGACCCCACACCGGGATTTGAGCAATTTTTGGTCTATTTTGGATGTTTGAGATTGATTGAACACGGTACAGGAACTTGGATAGTGGCCGTTCTCATGTCTTCTGCCATACTATGAATATAAACTTTTCAGGTCTCATTTTTCCGATTATTGCGCAACAAGAAAGTGACCTGTGCTGGCTAAGGGGCCCCCGAACCCTGGCTCGGTGTTTATGCGTAAGAATGAAAGAATAAGATGTCGGTGCATTTGGGTGCTATGCGGCCTTTTCGACTATAAGATTATTCAACGTTCAGATATATAACGAAATATATCGCAGATCAGGTGATGGAGTCGTCGATTCCAGGTTCGAGTTCGCTCACGGAACAGAAATATACGATTCGAGTGATGCGTGAAGGGCAGGGCAGCATGGAAGTAGCGGATGTGTGCACAGTATCAGTGCGGGTACAAGCAACTCTTGGTTTTGCAAAGGAATACATTATCAGTGTCATCGAAGCTGCCTTGGCATCTTTTGGCAATCAGGGAGAACAAAGTTTGGCTACGGGTTCAGAATCCCATCACAGGTAAGGGAATAAACATCGCTTCAGGATCCCTCTCATCGCTGCATTTACTGCCGCTTTAAGGCGACGTAGATGATAGTACACTCAAAGGACCTGATATCGACCGGGAGTCTACGTTGTATTGATTTGATAAAAGTAAAGATAAAAGATGGACGAGGGCCATAAGGGTGTATCTCATCATTTCTGTGGGAAATATCGCTTCTTTTCACCCTTCAGCATTTACGCAATCGATAGCATTCAGAGGGATGTCCCAGAAAAAGGGATGTCCCCAAGACAGCACAATTCAAAGCTCTAAAAAAAGTTCTAAACATTTCGCTGAATTTAACCTTTTTCACCAACAGAAGCGACATTGATGAGGCAAGTACTCCAAATTTCCATGAGATCTTTGCCGTCTCAGGAGTGCCGCTTACTCCGTTTTCTGAACGTAAGCCTGCTCAGGAACAAACCGTCAAGTTCATAAATGTGGCTACTCGTGATATGCGCTTGCGCAGCACCAGTCTCCGTGAAGGGAGGCGCCGTCGATCAGAGGACAGCAATGTATCCGCCAGCCCCTTCGGCTTCACGCATTGGAGTGACTCTGTCAAGGACAATACGAGTAGAAGTAGGGACGCTTGTAGCAGTAAAGAGAGCAGCAAGACTGGAAAGACAGCCGGTGACGACTTCGGTACCCACGGCCACCCCCCTGACCATAGGGAGGAGGGCGGGTGCCTAGAGACGTGTGTGGCTGGAAGGCTTTCCTCGATATCCTCTGCTTCATCGGTTCAGTCGTTGGAAATAGAGAGTGGCATGAACACACATTTAGACGCCGGAACCGAGTCAGAAACCGATCCCTCAACTGGCCAGGTGATTGGAGAGCAAAACTGCGCACGCGAGGCTGTGGTTGGTGGTCTTGCCAGCGCCCAGCCCATCTTTTCCCTTCACCGAAGGAAGAAGCACGCGGTTCGAAAATCCTGCGAGCAATGCAGACACAAAAGAGTGAAATGTGACAGCTTGCTCCCTTGCTCTCATTGTCAGCACCGCGGACTGGAGTGTTTCTTCCTTGAGCGCAAACCTCGCCTTCGCCCGGGCGAGACACAGAGGAAAGCTTTTATCCCTTCGGTCATAAAAAGTGTTGTTCCTCGAGCTGGACACAATGACCTTGAAGGGATGAAAACCATTGTGAGCAGAAGAAAGAGGCCTTCTGTGCTCGCTCAAACTGGCTGGGCCAATGACGGTGTGTGCACAGAAAGGGGGAAGACATTAAAAAGCGAGGGAGCTTTAGCAGCAGCCATGGCTCGTGAAAGTGTAGGCGCACAGAAGAGACAGGCGCCGTATGCTGGAGTAATTGCTCCTTCGCCCATGCAGGACCTCGGAGGGTCTTTAGCAATGGATGAGGCTAGCTCCCTCCCTGTTCAACACATCTTCCGTCTTTCAGAGCCACAACTAGCAGTGGACGATGGAAGTACTTACTTGCCGAAAGAGAAGGGGCGCATCGCTTGTAGGGAGCTGGAGGAAATGCAACAGCGACGGGAGCAACGAGCATTACCCGTGCCTCTAGAGCCACCTGAGGATGAGGACGAGAAAGACCGGGAGGTAGCCTTCCTCCTGGAGATAGAGCCGAATCTCTTGAGCCCAAATGTGCGACCTGCCGCTGCCCCAGTCTTATCCTTTTACGGAGTAGCATCCCCGAAAGGAGAGGATGAAGATCACGGCTTTTCCATGAGACCCCCTCTCCTCAAACCTGATCGCCCTGCCCCAGCGCGGCCGATCTCCCTCTCATTAGGGGTTACGGACATGAGACAGGAAGAACAGTGTACTGAGGCTTCCCTCCCTTTGCGAGATGGAACGTCGGTGCCAAGAAGTGACGTTATCAGGACATGGCTTTCTAGTAAGGCAGCTATTCACCCATCGCCAAGAACACGTTAGCAGGCGAGAGGGCAAACAGAGAATGTCAGGGGGCATCGCGACGCAAACGAGGAGAGTATGGCGCCATCTCTCGGACGCTACCAGGGTATGCATCACTCCCATCTATCACTTCCTGCGGAGGTCATAGACGTGGCGGATCGCGAGGTTGCTGCGTTGACAGAGAACACCGACCCTGATGTGGAGCGTGAAGAATGAAAATCCATCTATCTTATCAGGCCACATGACCGGGGCTCCAGAGAAGAACAGCGGCGGTGGAAGGGCACGGCCTAGCCCGCAACGCACCATTAACGTGAAGTACAGACCCCCTCCCTTCTATTTTGCACGACCACGGGTTGCAGACACTAGACAGGAAGGACTGTAGCCGAGAGCCCTGTCTGAATCACCGTCGACGGAAGCTCCCATGCTCTATCGCCTTGATTCTTGAAGCATGCGAATCGCACGACTCCGTCGTACCTTCGACATTTTTCTTTTTATTGTATCATTCCCAGCTGAGGCACCGAGATAGGAGGAGGACAATGGTACGATGCTAGCGATGGAGACAAGCCCACTGAAGTCAGGACAGCAGGCTAGTGAAGATGTCAAACAGGCTTCTATAAAGTCCATACCCATGAAGGCACGTGCCCGAATGCGGTATGATGGATAGAAGGATTGCGAGGGGTGCAAGAGCGGCTAAGGTCTGTGTAGGATGTAGGGGAGGCCATGGTGATGGCGCGGGGACAAGGTGCGTAAGGAGGAGCTGAAGAGGAAGGACGAGATATAGCGAGGTTCATGAGAAAAAATTTATGAATAAAATGATTTCAACCAAAAAACAAGAGAAAAAGATGTAGGTCACTTGCTGGGAAGGGGAGAACAAAGCGAGCGATAGGCTCGAGGTCTGAGGAAAGGGAGGACGCGGAAAGGGATATCCGAGGAGAGTGCATCTGCATCTACATCAATGCCGCCAAGAGTAAAAGCGATGAAAATTAAAAACGTCCGAACCAGTTACACTTCATTCTTATGACGTGATGATGTAGAGCATACTACAGAGAAAAAGGTTGGGGGAGAAAGACTGTGGCTGCAAAAAGACCTAGATTCACATCAACACGTGTGAGGTAAGATCAGTACTGAGGACACATTTCGCTGCTTTAATCCACGTTTTCAGAAAAAAGATAGAGACACTCATGTCTCTCCAGTGGCAAGAGGATACGGTTGACATCTTACACTCGACTGACTACTTTCATTTGTGAATCTCTTCCATCTACGTCCATTTCTTTCTTTGCCTTCCCACATTT